GATTATTTTCAGCTACTACTTCAAAGTCTCGATATTTTCTTCAGTAAAGCTTCTGAATTAATGAATAATTGACTCTCAGCCTCCCTAACCGTAATTGGCTCTTACTTAGTCAGTCGCAAAAGGATGGTGGGATGGTGAGATGGTGGTCAAGTCAAAACGGTCAGTTCGCAAAATCCTTTTCTTCTTTGATTTACCATTTCTCTTGGTTCAGTTGGGGTGGGACAATTCAATTATACTTAATGAAGCACAGAAGACACTATTATTATTAAATTCTTTAAGATATATATTTTTTATTATAAAGTTTAGGCCAAATTAAATAGACCAAGTATTTTACCACCATTGATTTTGACATGAATCTCATCACTAAATCCTCCATGTGATCCAAGTTTGAAGAAGATATGGTCAGTTTTAGGTCAGTATTGGTATAGAGAATTATATATAATATCATATGATATCATAAACTTATAATAAAATTTATTATTATATAATTAATTTTTTTACTTAAAAATTTATTCATAATATAATATATATTTACTTATTTAACATCACATCATGATTATAATTAAATTTATAATTATAAATAATATTATAACTATAATATTATTAAATTAGTATCACATTTCAAGTGATCATTAGATTACCCCTTGGGAAAAATTAATTTACTTACCATCTGCTTGGATTATAAGAAACAGAAGGGAGAAATTAACTGAAAGGGAAGGGAGGGAGAGAAATAAAAAAATATCTTTTTTTTTTTAATTTTCTTTTACTTTCCTCATCTCATTTTGAGAGGTTAAAATAAAATGCAAAGAAAATTAGAGTAAAATAAAGAAACGTTCCCTACTAATTTTTCGTTATTCAATTAAAAAAAATTTTGTATTCTCCTTCTCAGCTATCAAATCAAATGAACTATTAAAAGTAGGGCTGGGCATTTTAAACCAGACCGATGGTTTATCCGAAAACCGAATCAAGAAAATAAATTTGATTCGGTTTTAATGGTTTTTGATTTTTATTTTTTTAGTTTTAATATTAATCGAATATATTTTGGTTTGGTTTTGGTTGAGTCTCTCAAAAATCAAAAACCAAAAACCAAAAATAAGCCATCTGAAAACCGAAGTTAAGATAAATATGATAAAATATAATATATTATTAGAAAAATAATTTATTATTATTTATTAATTAAAAACCAAAACCGAACTGCTTTTAAATCGATTTATTGATAACCGAATTGATCAATTTTTAATAATTTTAGTTCGATTTCAATTTTTAAAATTAAAAAAAAATTTGGTTATTTTAAAACCGATTTCGGTTTTAACCAAAAACCAATTTTGCCCACCCCTAATTAAAAGTATGGAAGTTGAATTAATTTATTATTAATTTCTCAATCAAAGTCAAGTAGGAGCATGTATCTTTCATCGAGACGCTTCTTCCACGACACGTAATATATTGTAATTAGATAATTTTCATCAAAAAGAGGAAATGCAGCTAAAAACATCAAACCATGCATGGGATGGTGGCAGAATGATAAGCTCTAATTTTTTTAAACAGTAAAATTTATATTAATATAATTAATATCTATTCTTAAAATGAAGAAATATCAAAGCTGAACATAAACTGCATGTCTCAAGGGTGCCTCACTTTACTTATAGACGAGAAGCGCGGCCACGGTCCCATAGTGGTGAGCTACTTTAAATTAAGAATATGTTCGGTTCAATTTTTAATTATTTTAATTTTTTGATACTATTTATATTTTATAAGTTAAAATTTATTTTTTAAAAGTTTACATTTTAAAATTTGTTTAATTTTAAAAAGATTTCAAATAGTAAAAACTCAAAAATTTTAAATTTAAACTTTTTATAAATTTTTTTTATTCATTTTTTTTATCTTTAAAAATAATTTTTAAATTTTTTAATAAAAATTTAAATTTATTATTTATAAATAATATAAAAAAATAAAAACCCTTACAAACTAACCCAAACATGATTTAAATAACCAAATCGAAAAGAGTTGTTGAATTTTACACAGGACATCCAAGCACGTGCTTGAAAATTCAACGCCTGGTTCTAACGTGACGCAGACACCCAATGCTAACGTAATGCAGACGTAACCGAAACACACCTTAATTCTGTACTGAGTCTTTTTGAAAAAAGATATTCCTTGTTTGGTGCTGAGATAATCAAATCCCCTATCTTGTTTCCTCCCTTGGACCCTGTAATCCAAAATGGCTGCTGTTGGTCAAAAACATCATCAAAGGATGAAAACTTGTAAAAAGCGAACCAGGAAAGATGAGAAAATGTCAAAGTCTGTAGTCAAGTATGCCATAGAAGGCAAAAACCGTTCTTAAGCCCCTCAACTTTTCCAACAGTTAGTGACCAGTCCCTAAACTAAAAATAAAGCAAATAAGCCCCTCCATTAATTGAGCCCCTCAACGCCGTTTGTTTAGTGGCTTGCATGGCATTTAATTTGCACATTACATTCAAAAAACAACAAGATAAAGTGACCAAAAAAATTATTATAAAAGTTAAAATTACACATTTACTCTGAAAACTTCATCTTCAACCTCCCTCGTCCTCTACTCTCTTCTCCATCTTTTCATCTCCTTTCTCCTCCACCTAAACCAAAAAAATTAAATGCCATGCAAGCCATTAAACAAACGGCGTTGAGGGGTTCAATTAACGGAAGGGCTTATTTGCTACGGATGGGGGGTTGGAGAGCTTATTTGCTTTATTTTTAGTTTAGGGGCTGGTCACTAACTGTTGGAAAAGTTGGGGGGCTTAAGAAGGGTTTTTGCCGCTAGAAATGGGTTGATGGAAACTTCCATTTCTGCGAGGGAAGGTTTCAAGATTTGTTGGCTTGCTTGTATACATACTCCCTCCACTTCTATTTTTCTTTATTTGTCCTTATAATAAATTCTCTATCATCTTTACATAAATTTTAAGAAATATTTTTACATTATACATACAAGAAAAGATATTTTTAGCTCATTTTCTTAATTTTTTTAAATATTTAAAAAAAATTAATTAATATTTTTAAAAACTAATTATTAGATTGAAAGTTTTATTCATTTAGATTATAAATACTAATTTTTAAATTGTTTTAATAAGTTTAACCAATTTATTGATTGTAAAAAATTTAACATTGTTAAATATATGTATATAAATAGAATTTTTTTATTAAAAGATTATAAGTATTAAATTAATATAAAAATTTATATGTATGATTTATATAAGTAAAATTTTCAATCTAACAACCAGTTTTTGAGAATATTAATTAGAAAGTAGATTTTTTTGATAAATCTTTAAAAAAAATTTAGGATGACAATAAACCCTATGGTATCTTCACATATATATATAAAATTTAAATTTTTTTATAAATTTAAATTTTTTTGGTAAAATTATAAATTAAATTATTCAACAAGAATTTTATACTAAAAATTATCATTAATATACTACATAAAGTATCATATAAATTTACATGTAGAGTTAATTAAAAGTTAGATATATGGGTAAGAATAGGGTAGGATCGAAGGAGTATAATTTTTAAGAAAAACTGTAAACTTGTGGAATTTTACTTATTACATAATTGTTTGAAATTTTCAAATATGCACAAAACTTAACTATTTTGCGTAGGTGCGTATGACCTTTGAAGTTTACAAATATGTACACCGGAAGACAATGTTAATTGGACAATGATTGCGACTATATTCTGTCTCTACTGTCTCGTCTTTTTAGATGCTTTTGATTTTGGTCAAAGAGTGAGCTTTCAAAAGACTTTTATGAATGGAAGAAAATAGCGAACTTAATTGGGTCAATCAAGTTGAAGTCTAAATTGTTGTGTTTCTTTTCATCCACACAAACTAAATCAGATCAAGTTTGAATTTGTTTCACCGCGACTTTCAAAGCTCATCATGCATTCTGCGCTCAGGACTGGTTTAATTTAAAGTTATTAAAATTTGTAAAATGATATCTTTAAAATTATTGATTTTATTTAATTTAATTAATAAAAATAATTAATAATTATAATAATTAATTAATAATTAATTATATTATTTTTATTTATTAATTAATAAATTAAAATAATTAACAAATTGATATTTTTAAATATTATTTTAACATTTTATACAGTAACCACAGTCCCATCCCTAAATGTAAGTCTTGAGTTTTTAATTTCTTTCTTTTTTTTTTTTTTTAAAAAAAAATTTCCACAGAGGTCTAAAATTTTCAAAGGTAGACAACTGGATCTGTTCATGCACAATTATATGACAAAAAAAAAGAGGGAAAACAGTATCTAACCTAACTCTGGTTCTAGGTTGGTTGCATATAACGTTTCAAGGCTTTTCATTTTCTTCGTTACCTAATAATAATGTTATTTTATTTATTTATTTATTTTTAATTATATAATAAGATACAATTCATGCTATTAAAATCTAAATCTAGAACTTGTTCAATTCTTCTATTAGAAAAAATCGTCGGCTTTAATCTTGTGACATGGACTTTAAGTTACGACCGTTCACCTACCGTGGATAATACGTTCGAGCTCCACAAATTCCATTTATCTTTCACTTACTTAACTAATATATATAACTAATTTCAATTTGATCCAAAAAAAAAAAATCTTCTATTAGAAAAAAATTATTATTAAACCATCTAAATTGTTGACAATAACAATGTTATTCTTGCTAAAACTTAACAGGCGCAATGACTTTATCATTGCCTTGTGCCTTTCCAACAGCAGATAGAGAACAAAATCCAACCAAAATTAACATTTGTGTAGATGATATAAGCCTAGTTGAAAATACAACCATAACCAATCCAATTGAGGTATATTAAAAATAGTGCATACAATTTTGGGTTTCCCCTTCTCTTTTTTAAATTCCTTCATGCCACCCCAAACTGGAGACCTATGAGAAAGAGGACACAAAGGCACTCGGCCTTAATTGGCCAGGGTGTTATTTTTTAAATTAAAAAGTTTAAAAGAACAAAGAAAAAAATGGAAACCAATTGGCAGATGAGTGCCTGTGCACTCAGGCCCATGTCGAGTGCAAATAGCGCTCCTCAAGTGTTTATTCCACCTAGCTTATAGGTTAGAACAGTTTCTTCCACTGTATAAACTAGGGTTGGACCAAAAATGATTCCCCTTAAAAGTGCTCCTACTTTTTCTAGTTAGAGCATGTGTAAATAACAAAAACATTTTGAAGGCTTCTGGTCCTTGTCTTATTGTGTACCTACGAGTATCTTTCTGTTTGGGAGTTTTGCAACCCTTCATGTAAGTCCTTCTCAACAAAACCTTCAGTCCCTCTCAACTTTGCATATGGAATTTTCTCTGTTTATCTCTATACCAAATCTGGATGTACTTCTTCCCCCACTTTAAGCAACGAATATTGATCTAGCTCAACCTTCTTTTCCAAGTCATATCTCAGCAATATCCCAAAGAGAATCTTCCCCTGATTCATAAAGATCTTATTTTACTTGCACTGGAAGTTGAGGATAGAGAGAGTGACAGATTTCAATTAGATATACTATTGCTAACCTTTACTCTCCTGTATGATGCTAGAGTTGCCAGAGGCTCATTTGCTTTCCATACTTTCTCTCCTTGATGGGAAATGTTGATCATCTGGCAACGGTTGCATCCCCCTATAGACTGGAAAAAGGTAGAAAAAGCTATCATATATGTAAGGCGAAGTGATATAAGCTTACCTTTAAGCAAGAAGATAAATCTGATTTATCTTTATTGGATTCTATTAGTATTAGGTCATAGTTACTGGTCAAAACTAGCACAATCTGTTAGTGCTAACAGCTTCATACTTCAAATGATAAATTCTCAACATTTTATGTCTTCTAAACTATTTTCCCAATATATAAATGTCAGTACAATATGTGGTATAGGTGAAAATTACCAGGCGAGGTTAAAATGTCGAGAACTTGAGACAATATAAACACCAAAGCAGTATGGAGTTAAAAGTTAGTATAACAACATAATAGTCAGACAAAAGATTGATTTTTCTGTTATAGAAAATAAATAAAAAGTTAAAACAAATTTATTAGAGGTGTCCAGAACTTACAGTAAAATCGAAGTTCCCAATCTTAAGTTTTCTCCATCCATCTTCAGCATAAGGTTTGCCTCCAGATATGATGAGGTTTGGCCGAAATCTCATGGCACTGACTTGAGTTTGTGCTCCATGAGTCCTCTTTTGAGTGTCTGCTAGCACAGATTTTTTATTTATATATATTTTCACATTAATAGCATACAGGAAAGAACTAATATATTCTCAAACACCCACCATAAAAGGCATTGGATAATGTACAGGAAACTGAAAGTTCTCTCCCACCCCCACCCACTTTTTTCCCTTGCCTAATACACATGCACACACCAGTCATTTAAACGTAAAGGGAAATCATTCACTGGTTGACAGGGGAGGCAAAATATTGAAGACACGGAAGATGCATGGCATGGTTCTTTTTGAGTACTGGGAAAGGGTTGAGGAAATATCTATGTGCTTAGAACAAAGAAACCAGGGGAAAATGAGTGATCAGAAGAGCCACCAAATTAAGAAAGAGGATCCCAAACAAAAACATATAGAATCCAACATTCAGCAAAATAGTATCACTGAAATTTCTTAATCATGTAACAGCAAATTTGGAAGGACAAGCAGCAATAAGGTAAAATGTTTATGGCAACTTTAAAGAGGTTAATGGCAAATAGTCCTGTAGAATGTGGATACAAGGATGAGCTATCCCAAGTGTCAAGTAATTAAGATTGAAACTGGCCAACAGTAAAACATCACCCAAAAAAGAGAGAACTGTTCAATTGGAAACAGAATCATCTGCAATTTTATGACAAACTCAACTGCATGGGATGTGGAATATACCTTAAACTGCCCATCTAGTCATACGTTTTCATTGAGGATTTGAAGCTCTCACTCATAAAATCATTATAGTTATTTATACATATACTGAGATGCAAGTTTTAGCTTATAATGACAAGGATAGTTCAGTAGAAATCATACTTGAACTTATTCTGTTGTTGAGGTCAGACACACTCTCCTCAGAAACTAGTAAGAACTGAGCTTCATTGGCAAAACTCAGTGTGCTGTCCACATCTCTGCAACAGCCCATATGGTTCCTCCTCAAAGAGAAGCAATTCTGGGAATGACAAGATCGTAACAAAATGCAAGGATGGCCAACAGCATCACTAAACCATTGGTTGATATCATGTCCATAGCATTGTGCATCATATCTGATATTAAAGCACATAAGTAATTGTTATCTTGCAATATAGAAAAAAACAGTATCTTACATACATAGAAAATACACACATTTCCAAAAGAAATATAAAATTTATATTTTAACATTTGATAGACAGTTGCATGTAAAGAAATTGTAAAAAGTTTCTAGAAAGGCTGCCAAATTTTGATATCTTATTCTGTTCTTCGCAACTAACTGTCACACTGCAACATTAAAATAGAGATTTTCTGGAATGCTCTCCTTTGCATCAGAATATTGGGTCCTCACTTAATAGTTTTCTTGTCTTTTAAATTGAAAATTTCAGCAGAACTCCTTTTAAATTGTAGGTGTTCAAAAAGTAAGAAGTTTTTGTTTTTACTTATACTCTCCAGTCAGTTGTACCACTAGTTATAAAAGATTATCATTTTTCCACCTGCCTAGAAATTTCACATTTTTCAAACCAGATGAACCTTGGAGAACACTCTAATATGAGTTCACCTCCAGTCACAGCAGTAACTAAGGTCAACCTAGGCCATGACTTGCTGGAAAAAAAAAAAACGAAGTGATGACTAAAATTAAACTCTGACAGTTTGAGTTTTTATTCTTTGTAGCAGTTTATTGCTTAATTGTACACACAGTTTCTCGGTAAATAAAATTTTTACATTTTATCCAAAAAAAAAAAAGGTGATGACACAGATACTGGTTTTCTTCCAGTCAGCATTGGAAATTAAAGGTGTTAAGAGATGATTTAGAACACAAAAGCAAACTGAAAAACTTCCACTAAGAGTTAATTTAGATTATACAATCAACATAAAATGTAAATTATTTATCAATACTCTATTCACTTTATTGCCAAAATGAAAATGAAGAAAATCAAGAAATTCATAAATATGGTTTCAAAACATACTTTCTCTTAAACAGACATATAACCAACTGATAGCCAGACCAAAAAATAAAAATAAAATAAAACTTATAACCGACCAAAAAGGTTGACAATCTATATTGTTGGCCAAAAAAAAAAACCTAAAATGTTGCATTTTTTTACCACAAACTGTTGCAGTCTGAAGGAAAGGGCATACCACACTTTAAAGTAAAATAATTCTTGTCAAATGACAAAAATAGCAATGAAATAACAAACATGTACTTAGTATCAGACCTTTGACCATGTAAATAAATTTCTTCTGTTCCGTTACTCCTGTATTGATTGGAATTTGAGTTTAGTTTGATCAGCAACTTTGTTTTGCAGTGTGGTGACTTCACAAACATTATTTCCTTATTGAGGTCAATAAAGGTACTGATAAGGGACATTTCAAGAACCTACAACAAGAGTAAGATTAACACATGATCTCATAAATAGGAGTTTTCTCCATCAGAAACAGTGATAAATACAAATTAATTCAAGAACAAAGAAAAAACACCATGAGAAGATGAATGTGATGATTATAATGCCAAACCCTTGAGGACGGACAAAGAAAACATGTCAATCATTGCAGAGATTTGTACTTCAAATGTGAGAAAGAGGACATTTACCAAAAAATGAAAAGCTAGTTCTTAAACTTTAATTTCATTATTGATTAGAAAATATCTATGAGATCAATCCAACAAAAGAATTAATATGTTCAAGACAAGCTGTAAATCCTTTCATTCATTCAGCTCCAAAAGAATCCAATAATGTAGGGTTTAACTAGAATTTCATTCATGGTAATATCAATTTCTTCCAATACATAACAGGGAGGGACCGCTGATGGACATATTAATTTCAGACTATATCATGCAACTTATAGAAAGATCTTGTATCCATTTTATTGTTGAGAAATAAACTATGTGAAAAAACAATGCCACCAAGTTCTTTCATTTCTTTTTTATTTTTTGGCCAATTTGTCCAACTACATGGAAGCCGTTTTAGTATGTTTGGAAGCACATCCTACAATCTCCTTGAAACCAACAATGGCAACCTCCAGCTCTTCCCCCTTTGCTCCCACTCCTACAACTCTCCCAAAAGTAGAGTTGGTAAACATGTGTGGTCAAAAGCAAAGCTTTATGTAAAACCAATGTAGGCAGCTGGAAGAAACTTTGAACAGCTCTTTATAAATCTGCCAGAAGTAATTTCTCACTGGTTCATAACATGGTATTTGAAGAAATTGCATAGCACATCTAGCAGTACACAGCTCCAAGTATACTTTTTCAGCTGGCTACTAACTAATTAATTAATCTTTGTGAAATATAACAAAAAAAATCATAATGCAGAATTTAGGAAAAAGATTTAAGGACACAAAGAGAGGAACACAATTCTTGGAAAGAAGATAACCATTTTACCTTCTTCTGTGTAAGAATTTCACCAGTCAGGCTTTTGAGAAGCCACTCTCGATCATGTTTGAAACCTGCTTTCAGGGTAAAATTAATTGAGCTTATATCATAGACAAAGTGATCTACCACCACCTAGCGAAAGAAAATGACACGAAGAAAGATCTCTTGAACAGTGTAAGCACCATGCAGACAAGCACACATGCAAGAAATCTGTATGACTGTTAAAGAATAATTTGCTACATCCAAGATGGAGATGGATTTGCTGATGCAAAGCACAAAATGTTTTCAATTGAGATGTAAGACTACCTAATACAGCTAGAGCATCACACTGCAATGGCCTTGAAAGTTTGAGGTCAACCAAAAGTTATACATCTTCTAAAGCATGGGTTCTGCCTTACTTTACCATATTAATAATAGGACAAAGTCTAGGCCAATGTCTAAATCATCCGGAGTCTTGCCAGATCATCTTTAGGGTAACCATTAAACAACTTTTCAATCCCAGAATGTCGATCATATTTGAGTTTCAACTAATTGGAAGATATGCTTTATCTCTACTTGTTCCAACACAGGGTCTTATGCTTTTTGCAAGAATATATCAAGAAGAAACAGTACCGAGTAGGGTAACTACCATTCTAATTGACTTAAACATAAAAAACTCAGGGACTGACAACCACTGCGGCAATGGATGCACTTATCAGCCCAGTATGCAATGGCAGCAAGGGACTTCAAAGATATTGGCCACTGCTAGGCATTCTACTCAGTATGATAATATAGACCTTCACTTGGGTCCCATTACAAAGTGCAACCAAGGCAATGCATGATGGTAAGCAATCGTTAAAACAGGTCATCATGTTCCACCATTGTAAATAGTAAAATTAAAATGCAAGTAAAAAAAAAAAAAAATCATTATATAACAAATTAATTAAACTCATACTTCAATCACGAAGGGAAAAAAAGTGAATCACGTTCTCACTTAGTAAAGCCAACAACATATAAATCCCAAAGTAAACAAAAGGTTACCTGTACTGCTTAGAGGCCAGCTTTCCACACTGAATCCTCCACATGATTTTATTGGGTAGATGATGATGGACTTGAGGTAGTAACTAGAACTTGCTACATGCCTTTCAATGCCTGCAATTCAATAACAACCAAGACATCACATAGCCACACCAAAAGTTAAAAGAACAAACTATGCTACACGAATCTTTCCTCTTATGGTTTTGTTGTGAGACCATTCAACATGACTAAAGTAATTTCTGAAGGCAATGCTGGGTGGGACGCTGGCAAACATGAAATGTACATCTTATTGGGGATGAATCATAACGTGAAGTTAAAAACAACCTTCACAGTGAAAAGGAATGGACCTGGCTGCCAACGGATACCCATTTCCATGCCCACTTGGAATTGATACAAAGGAGCGTCTTACAAAATCCATAAAATTCTGCATGTTTTGAAAGAAAAAAATGGAAAAGAATTCAGAAGGTCAAGTACAGTTATTGAAGCATAGAAACAATGATAAAAGGCGAGGCTAGGAATTTTTCTCAGTACTGCAACCAGAAGTTTAAAATAACCATGCTGCTAAGAAAGGTACAAATAATTCACCATCCCTTCAGATCTGGATCTCATACCATAAATTCAGGTAGAATGTGATGAATGGCAAAAGCATGAACACAAGTAAAGAAAATGTAGAGAGATGAGGAAAATCCTTTTATCTCCATTTTTGCAATTAAGATTTTAAATCAAACTTGCAGGACAGCAAAGAAAATCCACCTTGGCATCCTCATATGTGGACATGTAACCAAATGATACTCTAACAGCTCCAGTTGGTTTTCCATGCAGTATATCGTTGTCATCCCAGCAAATATGCCCAGCCTGAAATTGAACTCAAAAGGTTTTATTATACTTATATTTTATGTTTCAGCTTACACTAAACTAGTAATAGTATTGACTACCAGTGTTGCAAAAAGGTTGCCTAGGTGATGGTCCACCAACTTCCCTAGGCCTTAGGAAGTGGAGTTAGGGATTTATATTTTTTTGAATTTTCTGTTCTATTCTGGCTTTATTTTTTGCAAAAAAAAAAATGCCTAGAGTGCTTAATAGAGCTTAGGTGGCACCAAAGCACCACCTAGGCACTAGGCAGTGGCCCAGTGCCTAGCACAGCCTGGTGCATTCTGCAACACTGTAGACCACACAATGCAACCATTAATATCTTAATGGCAAACAAGAACCTTACAAAGGAAATACACACCTCTATATTTGAAAGAAGATCTGAATGGGACAAGCCAAGATATTTTGCGCATGCACCAGGATTACAAAAGCATCCTGTCTAAACCAAAATACCACAAAGAAGAAAGGATTCTTGTCATTAATCAATAAGGATAAATAAACTCAACTTTAAAATCCCCTAAACCAATTACCCTGTAACCTTCTCAAAAAAAAAAAAAAAAAAAACCCTGTAATTAACAGACAGAATGGCAAGAATTGCATGGAGACTAAATCATAAATAGAGACCATGTCAAGTAATTCTCTCAATTATGAAAACTTGAAATATTATTTTTTTCGAAACTATTAAACTATAAAGAACTTCTGACTAAAGATGGCAGCAGATTAGACTAATTAAAAAATAATTACACTCTTAATTTTACCCACCAAGACAAACTTTTAGTGTTCTACTTTATGGGATCAATGTTTGTCTTTTTGCCCAATGTTAGATTCTTCAGATCTTCAAAATGAATAAGAAAATGCAATAATCAAACTGCATCCTTAATTTTACCACCATCAGCATACTGATTTAGCAAAGTGGGGGTCATGCAAGATGCACTTATCATTCACAGATCTTATAGTACCCTAAAATCTTCATGATGTTAACTACAAATGCATTATAGGAACTTAGTCTTTCAAGTATGATAATTGCTTCATTCACATCATGCAATCTCTGCACTTGTCTAACGTCTCTTTCTAAAAGGCTAGGAAGGTGGAATAATGTGAATGTGCTCTCATTCAAAAAGAAATACATGTAAATTTAAGAAGAAGAAAACCTACAGTCTCCTTGTACTCATTTTGACACTACGTGAATATTAGTCCACTATTTATTTGAGCATTTCGCTTGTTTATAATCATGAAAACAATAGAGGGCCTCACATAATCCAGAATTGAACTCAGCAACAAATTTAACCTTGTCTGAGTCATTTCCTGAATAAAAGACTAATACGATGACTGATGAATTGCATCTTGCGACCTTATAATGAGAAAAACATATCATTCTTTAAACTTTTCAAATGCAATGAAAACAGAAAAAAGAAAAAAAAAAAAAAAAACAGAATATTAAATGGGGAATACAGCCAGATTGAAGGGTTGATTAAATTATCAAACGAAAAACTTTATGCGCATATGCAAGCATGCATGCAACTGGGTATTTCTCGAGATTTACCCGTAGCTGAATTCCAGATAGGGATGCCAATTTTTCAACCTCCCGGTATCCAAACCAAGAACCATCAGGTCTTTTCAGGTTGAAAGAGACTATGGGACCAGATTCATGACTAGAAACCTATAGGAAAAAAATTGTAAAACAATTAAATTTTGCACAACCCAAGAAATTACTAGTAGAACAGACATCAAAGCATTATAGCCTTAAGTTGTAGAAAATGGTTGGTTTTGAAGCCAATGATTATATTAACATGGAATCTAAGAGAAGATTTTTCATCCAACAAAATCAATCCAGAACTCAACATGTTAAGTTCTATTATATTGCACTTGCTGATAGAGGCTCATGATATATGTGAACCAGTGACATGGAACACTGCTAATCTGCTATAAACAATACCAATGCTTTAATTTATGCTTGATGTGTCAACAATGGAAAAGATTTGAGATACAGTTCTCCATTCAAACCTTCAAAGTTTGGCTTCCATAAACTGTGCAGACACTGGCTCCATTTGCATGCCTCAAAAGTAAGAGCTTTTTCTTCACATATATTGCAAGTGATGCTGTATGCCTAGAGGGCAGGGAAGAAAGGAAAAAATAGTTCACAACATGTCAATAAATGATATAAGAGGCCGTTTAATTATTCTAAAATGGTACAGAAGAATACGAAAGAAATGAAAGAGGAAATGGCTTATGCGAGGAGAAAAGATAACGGGCACAAACACACCTACTTCATTAAATTCGACGTATAAACTTAACACTATAGCATGTTAGCCTCCATGAAAGGAACACAAATAACATTGATCATAAAGAATTAAACAGCATAAAACAGAGCTGTTAAAACCCTAAACTAAAGACATAATAGAGAAAAAGTGTTTGTAAATCATTACACTAGTAAAAACACTAAGTTATACAGACAAAAATGAATCTAACAAGAACAGAAACAAGAAAAAGATATGGATTGCCAATATGAAGCATCATCCACAATTGTTTTGTTAGAGAAGCAAAAATAACATCACTGATAGACCAGATTAGGTCACATTCCTCAACCAGCACAAGACTGAGAATAATGAAATAGACAACATTCAAATTCTTAGGCGTAACCATGAGTTACATGAGGCAATAATAATGAAAAAGACAATTTCAAAGTCCAGCAACAAGGAAGCTAAAACCTTCAATTAGGAAAACAGAAAATAGTAATTCAACATAGATGCAAGAAAAACGTAAAATATTTATAAAGGGGATCTATCCACTTTTATTCGAAGGGACAAGCATGTTGTTAAAGGAACCAATTTGGCATACCGGAAGATCGCAGATGCAGTTAGGGAATTGAGTATTTTGAATCCATGACGGATAGATGCAATGCTCAGGAATGAACTCGTACCATCCTCAAAAAGCTCCACACCTTTTCTTCTTTTAACAAAGTCAATATCGGCAATTGAGGCAGCAACTGTACCTGTAAATTTTATGGTTATGAACACAGCAATGCATTCAACTTAAAACCACCTAGTATAGGTGGAGAACGCCCAACTTGAATGTAAATTATGACAGACTAAATTAAACCAGTGTTGGAAAATAGTATAACTTCAAAACTTAACATTTCCCCTCACATGTAAGCCCAATGGAAAAATTGAAATAGATGTACGTGCATTGATACAAATCATATGAGATATGAAACGGGCTTATAGTCAATGAATGGGGTAACAAACAACCTGAGGTCACTATCATATTAGTGCAAGCACTAAAACCAATAGGCAAAATGCAAGGCAGGCCCACCTTGTAACTTGAATATATAGCCACAACAAATGCCACATCAAAACAATTCAGGATAACCCTTTAGTTAAGAAAAACAAAGTGCATTGCTCATTAGCTTCATAAGAGTTGAGTACAAACCTCCACTGAAATAAGCCTTTTTCAGTAACTTGGCCGCATCTGTTAGTTACCAAAAAATAATAAACAGAAAAAAGAAGAAGAGTTAGAATTAAGTTTGATTGAAATTCCATATATAAATTTTAGCATGTCTAAGATCACCTCATCAAGAGAACAAAATAGGGATGTTGCCTCTTGTATAAGTTCAAGATAACATTACTTAACCAAGGAAGCCTAAAGGTTTAATTTGACATAAAAAAATCACAACAATAATAATCTTCTTTAACATACAAAAAGACATAAATTAATCATCTCTCAAGAAACTAAGAAACTACTAAAAAAGTTATCTTCTTTCAGTTTCAGGAAGAAGAAACCTCAATAAAATGCATCTAATCTGAAAACATAAAAACAAAAGGGCAAGTAGGTCCTTTCCATTCATGTGAAGCACATTAAAAGAGCAGAACAGGCTTTCTCTCTCACTTAAATAATTAAATTCATTATCTTGAGAAACAAGTTTTATTAAAAGTAGGATATTAATCGTTACCAAGGTGACTTGGAAATTTACCATATGGCACATATGACAAACGTGGGATGCACACATGTTATTTGCTGCCAAACATCCATTAATCACATTTGACATCTAACTGATTTTAAAATAAAATGAAACAGAAGGTTATCCAAAGAAAAAACAGACTCTGGAAGTGCAGACAAGTTTCTCCACCCATTTTCAGATACTTCTAACATTATGTTCCCCACATACACAATTTAATCCATTGAGAATCTTTAAAAATTGAACGAGACTTAGATTTCCATGCTGTCAAATTCTAATTTGATGATTGCCAAACTACAGTGGACAAGAATGAGTATGCAATTTCAGAAAGAAGACTAAATCCCTTTCCAAATAATTGTGAAATCACAAAAATAATACCATATGCCAAAGTTAGCCCCATTTTGATTGTCAACAGAGCCTGTTTCTTCAATAGTCTGCATCTGTTTAACAGACTAATAAAATCCTACCAAAGGAACTTCTCTTCTCATTTTAAATACAATACAAAAGAAACATTGTTCTCTTTTTATTTTTAGAAGTCAATTATGGAAAAAAAATAGTGATATCTGAAACTTGAAAAGTATCATCACATAACGACTTCAAAAGGAAAATGTCTTATAGATTTGAGCACATACCATTCCGGAGAACAAGAGCACCAAGACCAGTTGGATATCCAAATAGCTAAAACATCAACAGAAAGCAAATTGTCAAGGCAATAAGTCAGTTTCTCCAAACACAAAAGAATCATTATTAAAAAAATTAGTGCTCACCCAACTCACACACTAAAACTTCTAAACAAAACTCACATAATTACCTTATAAAACGAGAGTACCACAAAATCTGCAGGATAAAGTGACAAATCCGGTGGTTGTGTTGCAGATCCTTTTGCAGCATCAATTAGGACCATCCAATGGCCCCTTATCACAAAAAAAGAATAAATAAGTATCCAACGACTTTGCTAAAAGGGTGGAAAAGAATCAAGCACACAGACTAATTAAATAAAGGAGCAACTTTTGAAGATTTTGGTACAAAAACGATCTTTGGTTAACCAGAACTCATTTTATGAAGGTGTTCATGAGTTCAAAATTAAGAACACATAACACCATGAGTCCTCATTAATTCAGTGCAGCTGACAGTATTAATGGAAAAAATCAGATCAAACTGTTTCATCTCATATCACATACTTAGACAAAGGAGAGCCTTCCAGAATTCTTTCAGCATTTTCTTTGACAATCTTCACCAGGTCAAGATTAAATCTCAATCCTGAGAAATTGCACTCCGAGGGGAATGCAAATAGATTATGCACACCACCTGCAGTAAGTAAAGCATGACATGAAACAAGTATTGTAGGATGCAGATGAAACAAACTTATATTTCTTAAAAGTTCCAGTGTTTCAATAATGTTTCCATGCTCAAAGTCATGAACCTAACATGTAACACAGCTCCCTTCAAAGGTGGTCATCTAACACCTAAATTTTGTGAACATCAAAGATTTGGAATAATAATAACAATAAAGCAGGATCAATTCCCAATTTTGTGATACGATCACAATATGAATATCACATAGAGATTACTATTGATGTGCCTTTTAGAAACTTGGATTTATTAAAGAGAGGCCAAAATCTGCTTAAATTTTGAATTCTTAGTTGCTTATCATGTGTCCCATAAATAACATATATTCTCAATCCAGAAAAGCAAGTAGGATCTGTCACTTCATTAAACAAAGCAAAAGCTTTTAGGAAACACAAATCAAGTATAACCAAATTCTCAAATGGAGGAGAACAGAGCAGCATATCAATTCTAAACAGGCTAATATGATAATATCTATTAATAACAGGCCATTTATGATAAGAACCACAACTGCCATAGTTGAAACTTGAAAGGAACTCATAATTTGTCAGTTTTATATGGAGATTTGGTTTTCCATTATTAGTTGTAAGCTATTAATCTAAATGTTACCCGTAAGCTCCCTTTCTAGAAATCTGACTTCACTTCTTCTCTGGACTGGATGCTGTGATACCTTCAGAGAGGTCACAGCCACGGGGCTGCTGGATACTTCATCAAGAAAACCCTCTATAACGTCTACAGCAAAGGCTGCTGCTCCTTTATCAAGTGCATATCTGAAAAATATTAGGGATAGACAATGTAACTAGAGATTAAAGATACTGAAACTGGCCACCAGTGGTATGTGAAAGAATCTAATCTAAGCCTATAAATAACCATTGCTATCCTTGCTTTGACACATGATCCACAATCTAGATGGCAACTAATTGTAAATGAGAATATAAGATGAGTTTAGCTATAGATTAGTATCAACATTGAACCACTGCAAAGAATAAATGGTAAATAATATAATAAGAATAAGAGGAGAAAAACAAAATTGCAATAATGACAGGATACTCTCTGATCCCAAGTACACTATTGTGATTTTCCATCGTGTACATATAGCTGCTCTGACAACTCCATGGAAAGTTTTCCCCAACCAGCTTCAATGCTGCTGTTGCCCCAGAAGTGAATATGCATTTATAATCTTTCGGAGAAGCATTGCAGTAATCAAGGACCTGCAACAATAAAGAAATAAAATAAAAATTATAAAAGCCAGAGATAATAACCATTGAGCTCGTGTCCAGGGATTTCAGCATGGAATTTTTGACTAGGAAGTCTCACTGAAAATTCTTGCTATAGTGAGAAGATTTATGATTTCAATTCTTGATGTTCAAGGAGAGGGGGGACTTATACCCTATTGCATTGATAAATGTAACAAAACATCCTAGTAAAAAAAGCAGCAAATCACCAAAAACAGCTTATTGCCAGTGAACCACAATCACAGGTAACCAAGAATTACGATTTGTCAAACTTATATATCATCAGCAAACATTTTATTTAAAAATTAGGAATTTGAAAACCCAAAAGAAGGGTTAAAAAAAAATAATAATAAAACTTAGTGAAACAAGTATGACAAAGCCTAAGTGAACACTTAGTACCTGTTGGCGTGCTTCCCTTATGATGTCAGAAGTGGCTGAACTAGATTCACTTTGGCTATCTAAATTCAAATTAAGAATTCCACTTGACAATGTGCAATCAGAAAACAATGAAAACAAACAATAAGTGACTTACTAGTCCATATAGCTAAACACCATGGCATTCAATACAGCTTTGCATCATCTCTCCTAAATCTGTCCACCTCTAATACCAGTATATCCATTTGTGTTTTCTATTTTTCCTTTTCTCATGCTGTCATTAAACATCTCAAGGACATTCTTTTAATCCTTCAAAAAAATAATAACTTAAGTTCATTAAGAAAATCTTAGCAAAAGTAACTTTTGAGAAGCCATTGGAAAAGAAAGGAATAGAACAAATAAAGAAAAAGATAGAAAAAGAAAATACGGAGTGGCTTGGTTCAAGGTGAAGGATTTATGCATTATTCTTCAGGAACAAAGATAACTACACTTATACAAAAAACTGATTAGGAAGATAATTTGCTTATGAGGATACGTGGATTTCCATAAACACAGCCAGTGAGATCTTTGAAGATCGCTTCCATCTGCAACTCGGAGTAAAGAGTCGCTCCAGCATGATCCAAGTAAACAGTACCTATAATTTCCAAACAGAACAAATAATCAAACATCTAAAGAACAAAACTTTAAATCTTCTATGAATCACTATTCCCTGTTGGCTCCTTCGTTACTACCATAAAAATTCAGAAAAATATTTAAAATAGACTCAGTTAAATCAAGACTTTAGTTTCTACTGCTCCTAGAGTGATGAAATTGAAAAAAATAAAAATAAAAATAAAAAATCAAATTCAAGATTTCAACTTCTTGTTTTCTCCCACCAATACTTGCACATAGCAGCTGCAACAGTAATACTGGATATCGAAAAAGAAAAGTATAAACTAATTAAATATTTATCTTAGTTCACTCCAACATTCTCGATAACCAAACAAACCAAATCGGAGAAAATAACCTTTGAGCTTGTTTTCAAATTTTCTACCTCAGAAACAAAACAAAAACGTGAAATTGAAATCATTTTAACAGGAAAAGAAAGAAGGAAAAGAACCGTTCTCATCCAATCGCTTGAATTCAGTAGCTCGTATTTCGTCGATGCTCTTCGGACCATTTGGATAGCCATAATCCTCTCCGAACTCATTGAGAAACTCTTCTTTTTCGTCCATGTTCAGATAATCAGATGCAATTACCGTAAGCAAAGCTGCAAATTTCGTGGAGGGATTGAGTATCGAAGATCCTGGGAATCAGAAGATCGTTGCTCGTGATTTTCTAAGTTCTCAGTGGAGATTTTATTTTTTTATAGTTTTAATATTTAATTTGACTTGTAAAATATTATTTTATTTGTATATTTATTTATTACCATATATTGGAAAATAATGATTGCTTTTTTTCTTTTTTTCTTTTTTTATGAGAAGAAATACTGTGTTAATAGCATCTGTTCGAAAAAAGATAGAATTTGAGACTTGTCCTGCCTCCTGCGAACTAAAGAAACTTGGCCGCCACTGCCACGTAGGGGAATGCCGGAAAATAATGATTGCTGGTTAAATTAAATGAAAATGATGTTTTAAATGAGCTTATTAATAATGAGTTCTTACAAAAATTAATTCCTTAAGAGTAACAGTAAATTTTATTATTAATTATTTAAATAATTTAATAATAATTTATTTTAATTAAAATAAAAAAATTAAATTTAAATAATAAAATATACTAACATACAGAGTTTTTTTTTTTGGTAGAACATACATACAGAGTTAAGAATGCTAAAACTTAGCTCTCGTGAATTCTATATATATATTTATAAATAGGAAAGGCAAACGAATGTGGAAGACCTCTGACTTGATTAGATATAGAGAAAAGCTATAGATATAAACATATAAATTTTGTATTTTTTTTAATTTAAAGATTTATTTAATGGTAATGATGACATAATAAGTAATAACCTAAATCTAAATAAGGTAAAGTTTTTATTTTAAATAAAAAATAACAAAATTTATATACTTAAATAAAAATTTATTATTGCATTTGATCTTCGGGTCCAGTAACATCAGGTGACGTATATGTGCATTCCCCCCACCTTCACGTAACAGTTCGAATCCGACTTCACGTGAATTTGTTCAAAAAAAAATAAAATAAAAATAAAAACTTATTATTTAATTTAACAGTTTTAAAATTTTAAATTTAAATAAAAAAATAAAAAAATTTATATCCTTTATCGACACAAAACAGCAACCGACACATGCCTTGAAACTAAATTACACTCGAAGATTGGCCCTTGCTTGAACTTTTTCCCGTGTAAATCTTACTTAGCCCTGTAATATCATTGTGATCATATAACGCAATATACTAAATGTCCTCTACTTGGAACAGAGTTGCCACACTCTGTCTCAATTTTTAGCTGAGGCAAGAACGGGCGTCTCTTGCAGAATTGCCTTAAGTATTGTCTTTTAAGTTAAAAATTCAAAACATAGGGTGAAAATTATATTTTTACTCAAGTAATTTATCAAACACTTGTTCTATATAACAAAAAGAAATTATACTCTTTAGTAAGTTATTATCCTAAAACCCAAAAATTCAAACTTCTCCTTTCATTCTAGTATCAAGCAATAAATCATTATAAAAATGCAAATGACTATTAAATCACATAGCTGGAAAAAAAAAAAAAAGAGTAAGAAGAAGAATACTTCACAATATTTAAAGAATGGTAATACACAAAGTGCCACATAAGATTTAACTTTTGTTTTTTTCCAAAACATTAATCCTTAATCTCTCTGCAAACTCGATGGACCGGACCTCTTGTAATCTGCAACAGCAACAAAGTAGTTCTTTATGTACTCTTTAAACAAAACCTCCTGATAACGAGGCATTCCATCTTTCTCTACCACCTCAAGCAGAGGTGCAATCTTCTCTTTTGGTCCTGGAGACATAAATACAGGTATGGACACTTCTGGACTCATTCTCGTGGTTTGAACTGTATGCTCCACATTTTTGTACCTTCCATTACTCAATATCTAATTGGACACAAATTGAAACACTTTTGGAGGTTTAAATATTAGACTGTAATTTTGCACGCTTCTATAAATCAACATTTAGTTTTTTGGTTCTCATTTTATCCCTATATGACTATCATAGGGAAGAGAGAAAACGGCAAAGATAAGAGAAATTATTTGTTTTTTTCATGATTTCTCCAATACTAGAGAAATTAAACTGATAAAAAATCTAAATTAATTAATTAAAGTAGATAATCCTTAATCCTAGCATAATAGATATAATGGTTGAAAATGCCTCTTGTGCTTTAAAAAATTAAATTTTCTTGATGGATAGAAAAAAAAAAAAAAAAAAAAAGAACCTTGTGCATATTAAAAAAACAGACTACTAAATAGAAACAAAATGAGTAATTTCGATTCAAATTACCTATGATGTGTCACCATTGTTGATGATTAAAGCTTGGGGGAGGGGTGGGATCTCTGACCATTCTCGATCCCCTTCCGAAATCAAAATCATCTTCAACCTTTATGTGCGAACCACCAATTCCATCTTGTAGTAATACTGTAAGTACGTAAAATAATATCGATATGGCGTGCTATGCCAATTGTAAGGCCTGGGTTAGGAAATGGTGGCTAAAAGTTCATTTTAACCACCTACCTGCTTGTAAGTGCACCAATCCTCTTATAGTTGATAGTCACTCCAAGATTTCCCATCAAGATTTCCAGCAATTTCCTTACTAATTTTGTGTGGATTCCTTCAAATACTCAAGCTTTAATCATTGAGTGCTACCTTGACTAAAACTAGAAGGGTCTACTTGATTTTTGAGTAGAAGTTAAAGCACTTATGTATAATATAAGAAGAAATGGTACACACAATTTTATTTTATAATAGTTGTGAAATCTCTTATGTGATGATAAAGATTAATTCGCGTGTACTATTGTTCAAACTAACATCTTAAATAATTTATTGATAATTTATTTTAAATAAAAGTAAAAAAATTTTATGTTCAATTTCTATAATTAAAATTTAAATTGGAAATTACACAAATGCCTGCAATGGTTTGAATTAGTGAACTTAAGTTATAGCGAGCATTTTCTTTTTTAATTCTAACAAATATTTTACTTTGTCAATCAAAACAAAAATTTTTTTTAAAAGATCTGAATAATTAAGATGGATGCACCTGCATTCTATGGGCCAACATTGCAGCGCATCAGCATTATTAGTATAATTCATGCTAAGATAGTCCTTCCACTCCAAGGCTTTCTCCGTCTCCGGCCTGGTGCTAGTTCCATACATCACCAAGGGGCTCG